CTGACCGTGTACATTGTTCGTCACCAGAAACGTTTACCTCAAAAAGAGAATGAGTGAGTAACTTTAGCAGACGTGTTGCATAACAAACCTTCTTTGATTGGAAAGTTTTTTTTATTCTCCGGCTTGAGGCGAGACAGACAAGTAAAAGTGGATCAGAGTCGTCTTCTTCTTAATACAATGTTGTTTGCAGTGCATAAATTTAGTTTAGATGATGACACGACCCCCATGAAAGCACCGTCTGCGAATATGTGATCATTTAAATGGCGTTGATGAAAAACCTTTTCGTTTTGTATTTCCTTATTTTTCATTTTTGTTTGTTTCATCTTCAACAACCTAACAGTCCATATGTACTCTCACCTGTAAACAGAAGCAAGATTTTCTCAGTCATCATGATCATCATGATCATCCTCATGATGATGATGATGATGATGATGATGATGATGATGATGATGATGGTGATGATGATGATGATGATCATCATCATCATCATCATCATCATCATAATCATTTCATCATCATCATCATCAAAATGCACAATGACCAGCATAATCATCAGCATCATCTACAAACATTGAAGAGCACCATCCTCATCATTTACACACCCTGATGGTCATACTTACTTATACACGTGTACACCCATGCACTCTCTAAAAACATATACTTCACAAAGTACATCATTTATATACTCAAATATACACTCAATCTTACACACCTATACGTATACACATATATATGCACCGAATCCGTGTTTTTCTTCTATAGGTGCATCGTATTTTATTTCTGTAAGGATTACCTCTTTTTGTTGGTATTCAATGCACGAGTCCTTTGGCGTCTTTGAAATGAGTCATACGTTCTTGTTTACTTCTTAATTTGTGTAAAAGTTTTGTGTTCGTCGGAAATGTGTCATCAATCTTGATGTATCACTTCAATATGTTATCAATACTAGTGTAACTCTCATTTTTTTCATCAACGTTTGTCTACTTTTTTAATGTGTACTATTTTATCATAACATCGATTGCATGGTTTAGTTCTAATTACCATTTTTACATAATGTTACATAGTGTAACAGCATATACCCTTAAATACGACGTGATATGGTTTGGGTTGGTTGTGTGTTATGCCCTATAAACATCTATTGTCATTTAAGGACGTTCCTTGTTTTGGTGGCGGAGGAAAGCTAGTACCTGCCGATTGCCTAAAGTAGGTTTCGAAATTGCGACCCAGTGTTGTAGGACTAGTGGAAGCAGAATGTCAGTGAACGTCGTGATATGAAGTCAACAAGAGAATGCACATGGTGCCATTTGGGCTTAGTTCTGAGTTCTCGGTACTGTTGACGCTGGATTTGCTGCAAATTGAAACAGTTGAATGGACTACAAAAATGTATTCAGTGAAAATATTTTTTTGCTCTTAATATGTTTGTTCTCTCATATTCACTTTGTGTTTACGCCACCGGATATCGGCACCACGGAGGCGGAGATTTTGTATGATGGGCCACGGTTGATGATGAATATTTTTTGATGACTTCCTAAACTGCATTGACAAGCATATGCTTAAGGCTTTATGTATCAATATCTCATATTTTTAGCGTTTATCGAAGTCATAGAAATCAATCAAATAATCCCTCAGATAACGATATAATTTAAATTTCAGCTACACAAAAGATGCCCCGGCGTTCATTGGTACCAGGCAGTATTTTGCAAGGTGATAAAACATATCTTCAATATATTATGTCGATGTCATTTCATTAATTTTCAATTGAGATAGTTTAGGAGTGTTCTACCAGGTCTTGCTATTAAATGAGGCCTATAAACAAAAACCTAATGAACCAAAAACTCATCCTCACGCTGCTAACATTTACAATGGTTCCGCTTCCCTGGTCCGATGTCTGGTGCCGTTAACACACGGTGATCTTTCAGTGATAGTGTCTCCCGTTCTAGTCGTGAGATATTTATGTCATCACACAGAGAGTAGATTAGCCACGCATACTTGTGAAGACATAATGAAAAAGATTGAATACGTCTCTTTTTATAATTTCCACCATCATACATTGTAGCTGGCGTAATAACTTCTCTATTTGTAATCGACATTTCAGATGAGAAAGAACTGATCATAGTATACATTTCGAATAAGACGGATACACAGGATTACGTGGGCTAAGATTCGTCTGGATTTTCATTTTTAAGAACCTCTGAGACAGAGGTTTGTCTGCCTTGCCATCAAATGGGGGAAAGTTCTCTTTACTTAACGACTAGAATCATTTTGGACAAGATATAGCACAGCAATTCGTCAGTAATCAGTTTTGACGAGGTATACCACAATGATTCACGAATTTTTAGTCTTGACAAAGTAAAGCGCAGCAATTCCTGAGTAATAATTTTGGACAATGTATAACAACAGTTCGAGAGTAACAATTTTGGACAATGTATAACAACATTTGGAGAGTAACAATTTTGGACAAGATAACTCAATGATTCGAGATTTATTATTTTGGACGATAAATAACAATGATTCCCGAGTATTAATGTTTGGCGAGATATAACACAAATATATTTTCACGATTTTTTGTTGACAAAACATTTCTTGGATACACACTTTTGTGAAGTCTTTGATTCATGAGGTGTTTTTATTGTTCATGGTTCCTTGAAAACAGCGAAAATTGGCGCACCATACGGTTCTCATGTGATAAGGTAACATTGTGTGATAAATATCATAAGTTGATACAGGAGTGAGTGATACATGATACTGTTGGTTTTAAATCTCAATCAGTTTAATTTATTACTGATTTCCTTAATAAATTTAATATAAATTTATATTTAATGTTTAAGAACATTTCTCTTTAGTGTACAAAAACATGTTTATATTAATAAAACATTAGAAATTGGTATTACTTACCCGTGTGATGATATTTTAACATGTTCAGGCATTACTATTACTTCTGATATACAAAGCTTGTACTTGTATCTGGTAAATACTGTATTAATTAAAGATGCAAAAGTACTATAAATTGATGATAACTTACAAATGCAACACATTCAAACACAAATACAACTGTTAACATAAATGACTTGTACATATTGGTTGCTAATGCTGTGCTAGTTAAACGATGTGGGTTTGATATCAACTAATGCTATTTTCACATGTTCAATTATCAAAAATACTGCCTACAAGAATACTTGTTCACATATTTGATTAATGTGTATATCAATTATAAGACAAAAAACGATGTTAATTTATGATATTAAAACATATTCAAACATCAGAATCTCATCTTTGTTAAGTTTCTTTAACATGTTGAACCATCAATAATCATTGCCTGTACACTCATCTGGTCAGTTGATTCGTGTATTATGAGATAAGAAAAAGATACTAATTTATGATATTAAAACATATCCAAACAAGCAAAACATGACAAAGTGATATTAGTTTAATAGTTTTTAACGTGTTCAACCATCAAAAGTTATGTCTATAGGTAATGCATGTACATATATTTGGTTATTGCTGTATTAGTTTATACAGCCTATTGATATTAAGTGATGATATTTTTATTTGTTAAACCTTTAAAGCGATAAAGTATGGAGTGATGGGATAGAAGAGGGGACAGGTAATAAAAAAACTGAAACATTAAGAAATACCTTTATATATAGTACCGATGAAGCAAGCAGATTGATTTTATAGCTTTGAGTTACTTCCCTGTCTACATAGGAATCTGTGTTTGACAAATTTGTCCCTGTGACTTTGTAAGTAGGTATTGTAATGTCATTTTCCTTCTCAAATTTTATTAGCTCTATCCCAAAAAACTATCATTCAAATCTTATGAATCCATTCCTTTTGGTTCTTTAGAACAAATTGTTTGAAATGTTGTTGACCTCTGTGACCTTTAAAGTAGGTTGAGGTCATTTTCATTTGCAATATTATGTGAGCTCTATCCCAGGAAGCCACCAGCCAAATATTATATGCCTTTCGATTATTCAGAAGAAGCTGTTTGATGTTTTGAACATTTTTGACACCTTGAAAGTAGGTCAAGGTTATTTTCATCCTCAAACTTTGTCGGGCTCTTTCCCATGAATCCACCTTCCACATATAAAGATTATATACCTTTTAGTTCTTCAGAAGTAGTCGTTTGAAGCGTTTGATATATTTGACCGCTGTGACCTTGAAAGTAGTTCAAAGTCATTTTAATTCTCACACTTTGTCGGGCTTCATCCCAGAAAGCCATCAGCCAAATATAAAAATGCTTTACCTTTTAGTTCTTCAGAAGAAGGCGTTTGAAGCGTTTGACCACTGTGACCTTGAAAGTAAATCAAAGTCGTTTTAATTCTCAAACCTTGTTGGGCTCTATCCCAGGAAGCCAACAGCCAATATAAAAACTCTATACATTTTAGTTCTTCAGAACACATTTGACCCATGTGACCTTTAAAGTAGGTCAAGGTCATTTCCTTCTCAGCCTTTGTCGGGCTTTATCCCAGGAAGCCAACTGCCAAATTTAATACGTTTCAGTTCTTCAGAAGAAGTCGTTTGAAGCGTTTTACACATTTGACATACGTGACTTAGAAAGTAGGTCAAGGTCATTTCCTTCTCAACCTTTGTCGGGCTTTATCACAGGAAGCCAACTGCCAAATTTAATAATTTTCAGTTCTTCAGAAGAAGTCGTTTGAAGCGTTTGACACATTTGACACCGTGACTTAGAAAGTAGGTCAAGGTCATTTTCGTTCTCAAACTTTGTACATGTCCGGTTCCATTCCAGGACGCCATCAGTCAAATATGAAGATTCCATACCTTTAAGCTCTTCATGAAAATTGGTTTGAAGCTATTGACAGATTTGACCGCTGTGACCTTGCAAGAAGATCAAGGTCATTTTAATGAAGAAATTTAATAGTACTCAATCACAGGTACCTACTGACCAAACATCATAACCCTAGGCCCTCAAGTTCTTCAGAAGATTCGCTCAAAGAAAAAGTTGACGGACAGACTAACAAATGACGACGAACGCTGTAGTATGGCATACGCTCACATTCACATGGCCCTTCGGTCCCGGTGAGCTATTAAAAAAACTATTTAGAGTTTCAACTTTAATTGTGTTTTCTACATGAATAGAAAATAAGAAATATTGTACAAATATAATACCTTTTAAAAGTATGTAATTGGATGTTTGTATTATTTGGAAACGAACTTTTCGAGTTAAAAAACTTAATGGGGATAATTTCATGCAGCACACTCTTAAATATTGATAAAGTGTTTTTCTGTCTGATTCTGTCTCTCTCCCCCTTCTCTTTAACTACCTCTTCATGTGTGCATATGATTAATTACGTGGCGCAAAAATGTCTTCAAGAAATATTTCATCATTGTACAAATTGTAATAATATATTTAAACTTGATGGTACTGGAGATTTACCTTAAGATGACATGAAATATTTCAAAATAGATTCTTAAAAAATAGGTAAATAAATAAAACGAAACCCTCAGTGCAGCTCACTAGTTAACTCGCTGACCAGTTCAATGATCGGGCATTGTCGGTTCAAAAACCTTATTACTTTAAAAAAAAATTCACAGATGTCATTAACACCAATTGATCAATTGTTCGAATGTCTCTACAAAATGAATCGATATTTGAGAGTGTTTATTAGACATTGATGAATTGTTTGTGATGATATTTACATAATGAAGTAATGTACCACGAGGACAGGTGTTTATCATGTACTCTTTCCTCATGTTACAGTCTCATCACGTGTACGGTACCGTCTATACAACCAACCCACACGTTCCCACACGTATCCACACCCACCGCTGTAGGTTCGATCACTCCATGTTTCTTGTCCAGCAGACACATGGCCTGTGTACTATCTCTATGTAGGACATACACCTGATCGTTGAAGGAGTCTGGTACAAACAGTCTGTCGTACTTGTCACGTGACATCTTAAAGAGGTTCCTACTACCAACCTGTTGACCGTTGTTGATTTCACCAGACCATTTATATTTTGTTGTACCAGATCTGTCTGTTACGACTGATACATTACTAAAGTCCGACACTGCAATGTCTCCTGATGAAAAACATGTAATAAACCACCCACGTATTCCACACGTCACCTTCCTCACAATCGTACCTGACTGATTCAGTACCACTATGTCTGGTGTACCTGTACTAACAAACACCTCCTGCCTCTCGTTGATGATGATGTCACATGCTTCATGTGGTCTGATGTCAGCAAATGTTGTCACTTGTTGGTTGTGTAGTGATAGTTTATGTACATATGAATTGTCATTATGACTGGTCATAAGTATGTCTGTTGTCCCGACCATGGTGATTTTGTACGGACAGAAGTCCAGTTTAACTGTCTCTTTGACCACACCCTCGCTATTGATCAGTACCAGACCCTGGTATTGATATATTAATAACCACGCGTGACTGTCGTCGACTGGACATATATCCAATATTTGATTTCGTTGAGTAACAGTAGACGTAGAGAGACGTTGAACGTGTTTACTGTCGATGTCTGTCTTTTCGTACTGGTTCTCGTGGTGTAATTCACCTAACATTTTCGTCAACAGGACGCGGTCGATACTTCCGGTAACAAAGCTTGGTTGTTTTGGTGAAACATGTTTCATCTTAACGTCATACAGGGGAAGAGTATTCCTTAATGACACTTCCGTTTCAAATATGGATACACTAGATGTATCCGTCAATTCTGCCTTTTCAAGCAGACGCGTCAGCTCTTCGACATTTTTCTCCGATCGTTGAATATCTTTCTTGTACAGCAGTGATTCCTCTTTTTCCAAAGATGCTAACTCGGCCAGCACTGTTTCCGCGATACAATCTACTTCTGCCTTTAACTTAGTCCTCTGTGAGTTTACCTCTTTCCTCGTTGTATCAATGTTGTCTTTGAACGTTTTGTTCACGCGATGTCGCTCTGATGTCTCGTTCTTGAAATTTGCTATTTTATCAGCTAACGTTGTCATATGTTCCTTTAAATGTTCCTTTTTGACAGACAGTTCGTCTTCAAAAAGTTTCCAGTTGTGTTGTTTATGATTTTTAGATAAACATATCGAACAAATCAACTCGTTGCAGTCCGAGCAGAACATATCACACAGTTTACCGGGATGTAGTTTACATACCTCTCGTAGAGGCTTGTCGCCCTGACGGGTAGCCTTCCCTATCGACACGACGTCATCGTTTTTTGTTTTCCTTCCTCGTGTATGGGTTTCCTTACACCGGTCACATAAACTCTCCTGACAATCGTTACAGTACCATCTTACCCCATCTTCACTGTCACACAGAGCACACGTGTAGGTAACGGGTTCCTGAGCACGCCGTACGGACCTGTTACTTGCCATGATGTTGGTACTTGAGTGCGTTTGAAGGAATACTTTGCCTACAAACTGTGAACTGCCACCATTTTGTTATGACGGTACAACTTTATCTATACACCTCCTTGTTACGGGTATATCACGTGACTTGACCGACAGACAGTATAAAGTCCCGGACTCCTGGCGCTAGTCCAAAAATAATCTAACTAAATGGCAGATCTTGCTATCATACGTAACCATGATAACATGTGTGTATAGGACATACTTTGTACATGTGTGTTATCTTGCACATTTTAGTTGTGATTTGTACTTGAGTTGTGTCCCTTCGACCAAACATTAGAACTATCGAAACGGACTGTTAAGTGTAGACTATGTGATGAAGTATAATATTTGCCTGTTTTTGTCCAATACTGTGTTTGATACCAGACAGGTTACATAAATAGATATAAGCATCAGGAGGACACATCTACAACTTAATTCAGTCTTAGGAGGACGAAGAAGCTGTATGATGTACTGTAATATTCTTTTGGCATACTTTATGTATAACTTAATTTTAAAGGTGCATCACATTTATTTATGTTATGTCATCCCTTTACCAAATACATGGACATTAGATATATGTGACGAACCCCGGTATGCTGTGACCCATAGCAGTGTAGCCTATGTTTATGATTGAAATACGTAAATATCACCTGTTTGTTGTGACCCATAGCATTGTAGCCTATGTGATCTCCAGACATATGTGACGAACCCCGGTATGCTGTGACCCATAGCAGTGTAGCCTATGTGAATGATTGAAATACGTAAATATCCCCTGTATGCTGTGACCCATATCAGTGTAGCCTATGTGAACTACAGACACATGTAACGAACCTTTGTACTCAATACACTGGTACGGAGGCTTGTTAATTTTCACTATCTGCCCCACTTTTCACTAAAGACCCATGATATCACACAGTTGTGATGAATTATGTTCATCTACTTAGTTTCAGATAGATAAAATACTACTGCATTATTATATATCCTATATACCCCTGTTTGTAACAAAATCATATATATATATATATAGTCAATGAAAAAACAAAGAACGTTTCTGGTTTGTTGAGTTTGTTAGATGTCAGTTAATGTATCATGTTGTTAAAGCTGTAGCATAACTAGTCATTTGTTTTGAAACAAAAGACAAAGAAATGTGTTTCCTTATCTTGATATTTGTTCATGCATCTGATACTTTTTGGCATATTTGCTCTCAATTGTTTGATTGAGACAAATACATTATATAGATGCCTTTTGCAAATGTGAAATTATGTGTTTGTGGGTATTTCAGAGATAAAAAAAAAATAATCAAAATGACTATTCGTGATTTCCAACTTCAAATGTTCAGGAAATATTATGCTATTGCAATATATTTATGTAACTTACCCGGAGGAGGGAATGGACCTAGCACACCCATGCCCCTCCCGACACCCCTAAAATAGAGAATCGTTACTTTAAAGTTAACACTACAGTGTTTTGAATTGGACTCTAACTGTTAACCCTTATTTAAACATGTGCTTATATAATGTTATGCAGTATATAATCATAAAAACATTCAAAGTCCTTGTGATGGTTAAATATAAAAAGCAAATACAAAGAGGTGAAAGATGAAATCTAAAGAGGTGTAAATGCTAAGAAACTCTTTGTATTTCTTTTATATATATATTTTTGAGCAATCGCGTTATTACAGTTACTTGCGACTCAATCTTATTTGAGTATTTATACTTTTTTAGTGTACATAATTTCAGTGTGAAAATTATTGACGTGTTTTGTCTATTTCGACACGTACTAGATATGACTCGACTTTATAAAGAAAACGTACTGCCTCGGTCGGAGAAACACACTCACAAAACATGGTGGTAGCTGTGGACGCTGAGTCTGTCAGAGATGACAGGGGACTACACATATGATCCTTCCTCCAGGATGTCAGGAGCGGATAGTCAGCATACTGGATTGTTTCATAATATAAAACTTCATTCATATAAAATAAGTATAAAACAAGTTATTAAAACTCATATTTAACTCTTTTTTTACCTAATGTTAGCGTGTGGGGGTCTCAATTTGAGAGAAAACTGGAGTACCTAGAAAAACCCAAGCAGGTGAGCAAGATCTTTCCACGTCCGATCGCAGAATCAAAACCGACCTCTTTGGTGAAAGAAGAAGAGTGTATTATCCACTGCACCGATGTTTGCCTGATTTAAGGAGTTAGGGAGAACGTCATACACACTAATGATATGTGATGGTCATGGTATGTACACCAAGTCATCTGTATCAATTTTGTAAATAGGAAAGATGTCATAGTCAGTAGTTACACAGTCCTAGCTATTAACGTTATTGGTGCAGGTAAAAAGGACGGATGTAATGGTCAGTAGCTACATAGCCCTAGTAAATAGGAGGGATGTAATAGTCAGTACTTACATAGCCCTAGCTATTAACGTTATTGTTACAGGTAAATAGGACGGATGTAATAGTCAGTAGTTACATAGCCCTAGTTATTAACGTTATTGGTACAGGTAAATTGGAAGGATGTCATAGTCAGTAGTTGCATAACCCTAGCTATTAACGTTATTGGTACAGGTAAATAGGAAGGATGTAATATTTAGTAGTTACATAGCCCTAGCTATTAACGTTATTGGTATAGGTAAATAGGAAGGTTGTAATAGTTAGTAGTTAAATAGCCCTAGCTATTAACGTTATTGGTACTGGTAAATAGGAAGGATGTAATAGTCAGTAGTTGCATAACCCTAGCTATTAATGTTATTGGTACAGGTAAATAGGAAGGATGTACGAGTTAGTAGTTACATAGCCCTAGCTATTAACGTTATTGGTACAGGTAAATAGGAAGGATGTAATAGTCAGTAGTTGCATAACCCTAGCTATTAACGTTATTGGTATAGGTAAATAGGAAGGTTGTAATAGTAAGTAGTTACATAGCCCTAGCTTTTAACGTTATTGGTACAGGTAAATAGGAAGGATGTAATAGTTAGTAGTTACATATCACTAGCTATTAACGTTATTGGTACAGGTAAATAGGAAGGATGTCATAGTCAGTAGTTGCATAACCCTAGCTATTAACGTTATTGGTACAGGTAAATAGGAAGGATGTAATAGTCAGTAGTTACATAGCCCTATGAAATAGGAAGGATGTAATAGTCAGTAGTTAAATAGCCCTAGCTATTAACGTTATTGGGTCAGGTAAATAGGAAGGATGTAATAGTCAGTAGTTACATAGCCCTAGTAAATAGGAAGGATGTAATAGTTAGTAGTTACATAGCCCTATGAAATAGGAAGGATGTAATAGTCAGTAGTTACATAGCCCTATGAAATAGCAAGGATGTAATAGTCAGTAGTTAAATAGCCCTAGCTATTAACGTTATTGGTACAGGTAAATAGGAAGGATGTTATATTTAGTAGTTACATAGCCCTAGCTTTTAACGTTATTGGTACAGGGAAATAGGAAGGATGTAATAGTTAGTAGTTACATATCACTAGCTATTAACGTTATTGGGTCAGGTAAATAGGAAGGATGTCATAGTCAGTAGTTACATAGTCCTAGCTATCAACGTTATTGGTACAGGTAAATAGGAAGGATGTAATAGTTAGTAGTTACATAGCTCTAGCTATTGACGTTATTGGTACAGGTAAATAGGAAGGATGTAATAGTCAGTAGTTACATAGTCCTAGCTATTAACGTTATTGGTACAGGTAAATAGGAAGGATGTTATATTTAGTAGTTACATAGCCCTAGCTAGTAACGTTATTGGTACAGGTAAATAGGAATGATGTAATGGTCAGTAGTTACATAGTCCTACCTATTAACGTTATTGGTACAGGTAGATAGGAAGGATGTAATAGTCAGTAGTTAGATAGCCCTACCTATTAACGTTATTGGTACAGGTAAATAGGAAGGATGTAATAGTCAGTAGTTACATAGCCCTAGCTATTAATGTTATTGGTACAGGGGAAATCCTAAGAGAGATGAAACGAGAAAAACGAGTAGAAAAAGGAAACTGTTTATTTGAATATCCATACATGGTCGTGTTAAACCGCACATAGAAACTCGCATATACTAACTCCACATGGTACTGGTCAACCAATTTGTTTTTGCTACCAATTTATTTTTTGGTGTTTAGATTGCGTCATCATTTTTTTACTATTGCGAATACGTTATCAGTTTGTGTTTACTATTGTTATGACGTCACCAAATATCACTTACTCCTGCTTAAGTCTCACCGTAATTGTTCAGATCATTTAACGTTTCGGACGTGTGAACGTCCGTCATCGTTCATCGAAAAATACCATTGTGACATCACCTAAATGAGACGTCATATAATAGACAACATATTGGTCCATACAAAACTAAATCGTATCTTATAAAGGCAATCAAACTTGCAAAGTAGGCCCTGCTTTGTTTCCCAATATCCCAATTTCCAAATATCATATTGTTGATAGAAATATTGATTTTTCACATGTAGCATTTTCATTTTTTCAACACTTTCATATACATTATAATTTGGACAATTTTATGATAAAATTATACTTCAGAACATGACAAAACACCCCAAACAAATAAAGAGAAACTGGTACGAATTCCGTCTTGTTCCTTAACTTCCCTACATCAATGTTGAACCCCCAGGCTAAATATCAGCGTCGTATTACCGCAGTGCTTAGTTTGAAGGTTATTTAAGTACTGAACTAGCACGCCCATTGACATGACTACGAATGGCAACTGAAGGTCGTTCAATACTTACATTTAACATTTCAAAAGATATTTCAATCTCCAACCATTTATTAGTCAAGATTCCACATTAAGTACAAATAGGCGTATTATCGGGTATTCTTGTGTACAGAGTAGAGCAGCTGTTTTCAAGGGAACATAAAGAAATGATTAGAAAAAGTTATAAAATGTTTCAAATTTCACAGTGGTCTTTTCTAAAAATTCCTAATGAAGCAATTAAAAGTTGTATCGTTATATGTGATTAAAGNTTAAAAAAAATTTTTTTTTTTTTTTTTTTTTTGTGTAATTTTCTTTTTTGCAATATATGGTATAGCTACATTCAAATAATTCATATTATATATTCATAGCTCACACGACTCATATATACTCTAAATAAGAAGATTTATTACTAAAACGTATAGGAAAACGTTAAAATGCATAAGAGAAAGGAAAATCAATAATGAAGAAAAATGGTTGGTGTATTTCTTAAAAGTTTGGGAAAATAAACTGCATGCACTACACAATCATGATAACTATGCGCTAACTACTTATAGATAGGGTTGTAGTACCCTAAACAATGATTTATTTCAAAATCGATTTTTTTTAATACTTTATAACATGTTTATTGTTCATTTATTAAACACAAATCAACATGTAATACTTTCACACACTAATTTATTATACGCTAAATAAAGCCTTGCTTTCGCACATTTTCTCATACATAAATACGTATTTGTAACATTTATGGTTCAGAGAATCGAAACAATCATCTGGTTTTCATACATATAATATAACAATGTGGATGTATTTGGTAACAAGAAGGTAGATTTTATTCTGGTTGCGAGTTCCGAATGTGTGATAGTGTATAAATAACTATGTGATAACGTTTCCACTTAAATTTGAGGGTCTTTTAAAATAAAAACAGACCGCTTTATAGGATTATTAGGGCATGTTATTGTGGATATTCAATGTGTATATCACGACGATATTTAATACAGCGTAGTGCATTCACGTATACACCCGTACATGGGAGTTAACGATTCAAGTATTGATTTACAATACGTCGGTCGTATCCCCAACAACTCTGGAATGAAAAGGGCGAAACAAAATACACACAAAAAGCTCTCAGGCCAACTCAATAATTAATTCGTTGATCATTTTAAAGATCATTGTTGGTTAAACAATCTAATGACTTGTGGCTGTCCGATTATCGATGTCATTAAACACCACAGTCTCTGCAATTTGATTCGATATTTGGGGATGTTTTATACTCCATACTTCGGTTAATCTTGGTGAAATTATATATACATAATAGACTAGGACGGTACAGTCGCGACAATCGATCCACACGCGTCCGCTCCCACTCTTTTAAGGGTAACCAATCATTGTCTCTACTAAAGGACATACACCTGGTTGTTCCTCTAGTCTCGTACTTGTCTCATGATGTATCATGGCTACTCCTACTACGAAGCATGGAGCTCCCCAAAGGGTTAAATAAATATCCGACTATTTAGTTAACCGGATAACAGTTGACAACCTAAATTAAAAACAACGTCGTTTTCGTCCATATGTCGGCATCACGTCTGTCCGCTTGTCTGTAATGTCTGCTTTTTAAAGATCGCCTTGATATGTGATTTAGTACGACCCTGCTTGATGGCATTTAAAATCTCTACATAAAGTCGGATATATAAGTATTTCATGGGAGTCTTAATTACGCAAAATATATGTAATGAACAAATCAGTATCTTATTCATTTCTCATCAAGAATTTAGAGCACCAAATTGATTGTAAATCTGATTTGACTTTTTAAAAACACATTTTATTGTTACAGAGTATACAGCAAAGACTGGACATAAGTTATTGTAACCTACAAAACTTCCCTCTTATTCCAGTTACACAACTGTGTTTGATACCAGTCATTCCCCTCTTATTTCAGTTACAGAACCGGGTTTGATACCAGTCATTCCCCTCTTATTTCAGTTACAGAACCGGGTTTGATACCAGTCATTCCCCTCTTATTTCAGTTACAGAACCGGGTTTGATACCAGTCATTCCCCTCTTATTTCAGTTACAGAACCGGGTTTGATACCAGTCATTCCCCTCTTATTTCAGTTACAGAACCGGGTTTGATACCAGTCATTCCCCTCTTATTTCAGTTACAGAACCGGGTTTGATACCAGTCATTCCCCTCTTATTTCAGTTACAGAACCGGGTTTGATACCAGTCATTCCCCTCTTATTTCAGTTACAGAACCGGGTTTGATACCAGTCATTCCCCTCTTATTTCAGTTACAGAACCGGGTTTGATACCAGTCATTTATTCTCCTCTTATTCCAGTTACACAACCGGGTTTGATACCAGTCATTTAAGATATAATTACAACGCAGTCGAATAAAAGGTTGGAAAATTGAATAATAATATGTCCCTTGGTTGGAGTTATTTGTTGTCGTTAAATTTTCGTCCACTTTAAATCTAAATCTAATTACACAACACGAATTGGTTGTACACCATGCTAGGGTTGTTGGTATGTGTAGAAATGATTAAGCATAAAGGAAGTCTAAAAGTGATATATTTACCTTTCTATCGAAATGTTATTTTCAGTTGATTTGCAAATAATTTTATAAAAAGTTCACTTTGATGGATTTGGATATTTTGACAACAAGTCATTTATGTGAACGGTTTCCTCCCTAACGACATGACATTGATATTCCAGGGGGTTCGTTCACTGAAATATGTCATGACAAAATTAAAGTCTCTGACATTTTCTAAATGATACAAGTACACTAGTCAATCAAATAGCTACATTTGTGCCTTATATTTCACCATGATATGTCCATGGTTGAAACGGTATAAACAGTTATGATCCCAAAGAACCTTCCACTAAGTTTGTTTGACTTAAAGTAATATCCGTTATATATAGAAGATGGACCAAGCAGATGGATTTTGTAGCCCAGAGTTACTTTCCCTGTCTACCTATGAATCGTTCAGTGCTCTCCTCATTTTCATAGACTTTGTGGCCCTTAAATTGGATTTTAACTTCGGAGCTATTCTTTAGCAGTAATACCTATACAAATGCTTTATTTAGAGCTTCACAGTTTAGATAGTTTTATACATGAACAGAGAATAAGAAAATTATATACAAATCTAAATCCATTAAACATCATGTATTTAGATGTTTGTATTGTTTGGAAACGAACGTTTCGAGTAAAAAACCTTACTGAAGATGTTTTATATAGCACGTTCTTAAATATTGACAAAGTGTCTGTCTGCCTGTCTGTCTGATTCTTTTCTCTCTAACTATCTCTTCATATGTGCCTATAATTAATTACGTGTCGCAAAAATGTTATAAACAAATATTTCATCATTATGACAATCATAATGGTACTCGATCTTTACCTTAGGATGACATGATATATTTCAAAATAAATCCTTGGAAAACTAAGTAAACAATAACAATACCTTATCCCACAAATAAATAAAACAAAACCCTCAGTGCAGCTCACTAATTTTGGTTGGTCAGGTCAGTGATCAGGCATTGTCGGTTCAATAACCTTATTACTTTAAAATGTTTTTCACATATGTCATAAACACCAATTGATCAATTGTTCGAATGTCTCTACAATATAAATCAATATTTGAGGGTATTTATTAGGCATTGATGAATTGTTTGTGATGATATTTATATCATGTAGTATTGTACCACGAGGTCAAGTGTTCATCATGTACTCTTTCTTCGTGTTACAGTCTCATGACGTGTACGGTACCGTAGCTACACCCGATCCACACGTTCCCACACGTGTCCACACCCGCTACTGTAGGTTCGATCACTCCATGTTTCTGGTCCAGGAAACACGTGGCCTGTGAACTATCTCTCGGTAGGACATGCACCAGGTTGTTGTAGGAGTCTGGTACAAACAGTCTGTCGTATTTGTCACGTGACATCTTATGGAAGGCCCTATTACCATCATTTTGACCGTTGTTGATTTCAACAGTCCATTTATATTTGGTTGTACCAGATCTGTCTGTTATGATTGATACATTTGTAAAGTCCGACACTGCAATGTCTCCTGACGACAAACATGTAATACGCCACCCTTTCATTCCACACGTCACCTTCCTAACAATCGTACCTGACTGATTCAGTACCACTATGTCTGGTGTGTTTGTACTAACACACACCTCGTCTCTCTCGTTGATGCTGATGTCGAATGCGGTATGTGGTCTGATGTTAGCAAATGTTGTCACTTGTTTGTTGTGTAGCGATATTTTATATACAAATGTACTATCATTATAACTGGTCATAAATATGTCTGTTGTCCCGACCATGGCGATCATGTATGGACAGAAGTCCAGTTTAACTGTCTCTTTGACCACTCCCTCCCTGTTGACCAGTACCAGTCCCTTGTATTCACGTATTGATAACCATGCGTGTCTGTCGTCGACTGGACAGATACCCCATATATGATTTTGTTGGGTAACAGTAAACTTCGAGAGACGTTGAACGTCTTTACTTTCGATGTTTGTCTTCTCGTACTGGTTCTCGTGGTGTAATTCTCCTAACATTTTCGTCAACAGGACGCGATCGATATTTCCGGTAACAAAGCTTGGTTGTTTTGGTGAAACATGCTTAATCTTAACGTCATACAGGGGCAGAGTTTTCCTCAATGACATTTCCGTTTCAATTATGAATACACTAGATGTATCCGTCATTTCCGCCTTTTCAAGCAGACGCGTCAGCTCTTCGACGTTTTTCTCCGATCGTTGAATATCTTTCTTGTACAGCAGTGATTCCTCTTTTTCTAAAGATGCTAACTCGGCCAGCACTGCTTCCGCGATAGAATCTACTTCTGCCTTTAACTTAGTCCTCTGTGAGTTTACCTCTTTCCTCGTTGTATCAATGTTGTCTTTGAACGTTTTGTTCACGCGATGTCGCTCTGACGTCGCGTTATTGAAATTTGCTATTTTATCAGCTATCGTTGTCATATGTTCCTTAAAATGTTCCTTTTTGACAGATAGTTCGTCTTCAAAAAGTTTCCAGTTGTGCTGTTTATGATTTTTAGATAAACATGTCGAACAAATCAACTCGTTGCAGTCCGAGCAGAACATATCACACAGTTTACCGAGATGTAGTTTACATACCTCTGGTACAGGCTTGTAGCCCTGACGGTTAGCCTTCCCTATCGACACGACGTCATCGTTTTTTGTTTTCCTTCCTCGTGTATGGGTTTCCTTACACCGGTTACATAAATTCTCCTGACAATCGTTACAGTACCATCTTACCCCGTCTTCACTGTCACACAAAGCACACGTATAGATAACGGGTTCCTGGGCACGCCCTACGGATCTGTTACTTGCCATGGTGTTGGCCCCTTCACAGAACACGATAACACTTTACACACAAACTGTGAAATGCCACCATTTTGTTGTTAGCTTTAACTATACACTCCCTTGTTCCGGGTATACCACGTGATAAAACCGACCGACACGTATGATGTCCCGGACTCCTGACGTTAGGCCAAAAACATAGATAAACATATGTTACATAATACAGTAGAAAAAGTAATGAAGTCAAATATTTACCTGTAGCTATCGTTTACCGTGTTTAATAACAGACAGTTAATGGCCTAGTAGAAAAAGAAAAAAAAGCATTGCACAAAGCTACAATGTCACAACTGTCCAAAATCTATAAGGGGAGGCAGACAGGTGACCTTGACCTTATAAATAAATTTTCAATGTACTTATCACAGTCAGTTTTGCTTGCAGTATTACATGACATCAGATTAAGAGATCTCAGGGTTCGAAATTGACATCTTCGTGGTATTTCATAAAATGATAAAATAATAATAATTCGTTCTATCACAACCTAGGTCGTAGGCCGTTTATAAACGGATCACAAACTCTTATGGTTATTTTTATGATATGCATCTCTTTCTTGAATCAATAGAAGCTTTCAACTCTAAACTCCTGTAAAGAATGTCAATTAATGAGGAAAACACGTGACATTCATCGCTCTTTTACAGTTTTTGAATGTCAACATCTGACACATTTGTGTCGAGCATGAAAGAGCATGTCGTTGAAATATTTTAGAGCATATCATACTATTTTCCTAAAGAGGAACATCTGAAAATTGCGTCTGAAAATTATAGTCGTCTACAAAGAAAACCAAAAATATTTCAAATTGTTGACTGATTTATGACGGAGTTTGCATTCCAGAGCTTCCCCCCTCTTGAGGCCTCAAGATATTCATGTGTCAGTTCGATTGCGACTTTATCAAACAAAAACACATAAAAAGTAGAGTTATTATTAATGGCACAGCGTTCAGTTTAGAAACACCTGTCTCGTACTGAGGCAAAACGACAATGCCACACGAGTTATTTCCCGTAAGACAGTCACCAGGTGATTATAAACTAATGCAATGTCGTTGACAAAAAAGAAGAAATATGAAGGTGATATTATCTATCAAATAATATGGTTAAAGATCAAAATATACCGTCTGAAATGTCTCGGTGAAGAGAAACGCACAGCCAAGGGAATGAAAACAATTGTGTAATTAAAAATTAATTGAGAAATCAAGCTTACGTATAATGCCTTTTGGTATAACATTTACGTTGTCTTGAGCTACTGGTGTAGACACAAGGAAAAGGTCGAATAAATGCAAACGATGTAAATAGCTTCGAGATGAGAACACCTCTGATGATAGTGATTGGTACGATGACTTACAATTACAGATTATTCGGGCGTGATCTCTTTTTTTTGCTGAGAAATCGTGTACCAATTTAAAAATACCGGGAGTGAAACACCCCTGGGCATGACAAAGTATTTTTGTGTCATTTCAGTCACCAAATCACGACCGTAAAATGACTAATGATTTTACTGATTATGTTTGTTTCGATGTCGGTTCATTGAAGCTGTACGCCTTTTCTCTTAAATCATCTTAGCACAACGTTCATACACTGACCGTGTATATTTTTCGTCACCAGAAACGTTTACGTCAAAAGAGAATGAGTGAGTAACTTTAGCAGACGTATTGCATAACAAACCTTTGATTGGTAAGTTTTTTCCCCTCCGGTTTGAGGCTAGACAGACAAGTAAAAGTGGATCAGCGTCATCTTCTTGTTAATACCATGTTGTTTGCAGTGCTTACATGTACGTTTAGTTTGAGACGATGACACGACCGCACCGTCTGTGATTATATGATCATTTAAAGGGCGTTACAGGTGTTTGTATTTCACAAGATTAATTAAAAACCTTTTCGTTTTGTATTTCCTTATTTTTCATTTTTTTTGTTGTTTCATCTACAACAACCTAGCAGTCCAAATATACTCTCACTTGTAGACAGAAGCAAGATTTTCTCAGTCCTCCTCCCCCTACTCATCATCATCATCATCATCATCATCATCATCATCATCATCATCATCATCATCATCATCATCATCATCATCATTAAAATGCACAATGACCAGTATAATCATCAGCATCATGTACAAACATTGAAGAGCACCATCCTCATCATTTACACACCCTGATGACCATACTTACTTATACACGTGTACACCCATGCACTCTCTAAAAAACATACTTCACAACGTACATCATTTATATACTCAGATATACACTAAATCTTACACACATATACATACACACATACATATGCACTGAATCCGTGTTTTTCTTCTATAGGTGCATCGTATTTTATTTCTGCAAGGATTACCTCCTTTTATTGGTATTCAATGCACGAGTCCTTTGGCGTCTTTGAAATGAGTCATACGTTCTTGTATACTTCTTAATTTGTGTAAAAGTTTTGTGTTCGTCGGAAATGTGTCATCAATCTTGATGTACCACTTCAATATGTTGTCAATACTAGTGTAACTATCAAACTTTTCATCAACGTTTGTCTACGTTTTTAATGTGTTTTATTTTATCATAACATCGATTGCATGGTTTAGTTCTAATTACCATTTTTACATAATGTTACATAGTGTGACAGCATATACCCTTAAATACGACGTGATATGGTTTGGTTTGTTTGTATTTTATGCCCTATAAACATCTATTGTCATTTAAGGACGTTCCTTGTTTTGGTGGCGGAGGAATGCTAGTACCTGCCGAATGCCTAAAGTAGGTCTCGAACCAGCGACCCAGTGTTGTAGGACTAGTGGAAGCAGAATGTCAGTAAACGGTGTGATATGAAGTCATCAAGAGAATGCATATGGTGCCATTTGGGCTTAGTTCTGAGTTCTCGGTACTGTTGACGCTGGATTTGCTGCAAATTGTTTTGCTCTTAATATGTTTGTTCTCTCATATTCACTTTGTGTTTACGCCACCGGATATCGGCACCACGGAAGCGGAGATTTTGTATGATGGGCCACGGTTGATGATGAGTATTTTTTGATGACTTACTTACAGCATTGACAAACATATGCTTAAGGCTTTATGTATCAATATCTCATATTTTTAGCGTTTATCTAAGCCACAGAAATCAATCAAATAATCCCTCAGATAACGATATAATTTAAATATTAGCTACAACAAAGATACCTCGGCTTTCATTGTTAACAGACAGTTTTTTGCAAGGTGTTAAAACATATCTTCAGTATATTATGTCTATTTCATTTAATTAACTTTCAATTGAGATAGTTTAGGTTTGTCCTAACTGGTCTTGCTATTAAATGAGGCCTAGAAATATAAAAACCTAATGAACCAAAATCTCATCTTCACGCTGCTAACATTTACAATGGTTCTGCCTCCGTGGTCCGATGTCTGGTGGCGTTAACACACGGTGATCTTTCAGTGATAGTGTCTCCCGTTTTAGTCTTGAGACACTTATGTCATCACACAGAGAGTAGATTAGCCACGCGTACTTGTGACGACATAATGAAAAAGATCGAATACGTCACTTTTATATAATTTTCACCATCATACATTCTAGCTGGCGTAATAACCTTTCTATTTGTAATCGACAAAGTTTTGTTCACGCGATGTCGCTCTGACGTCTCGTTCTTGAAATTTGCTATTTTATCAGCTAACGTTGCCATATGTTCCTTCAAATGTTCCTGTTCCTTTTTGACAGACAGTTCGTCTTCAAAAAGTTTCCAGTTGTGCTGATCATGACTTTTAGAAAAACATGTCGAACAAATCAACTCGTTGCAGTCCGAGCAGAAAAAATCACACAGTTTACCGGGATGGCGTTTACATACCTCTAGCACAGGTAAGTGGTCCTGGCGGTTAGCCTCCCCGATCGACTCGACGTCATCTTTTTTAGTTTTCCTTCCGCGTGTATGGGTTTCCTTACATCGGTCACATAAATTCTCCTGACAATCGTTACAATACCATCGTATCCCGTCTTCACTGTCACACAAATCACACGTGTAGGTAACGGGTTCCTGGGGACGCCGTACCGATCTGTTACTTGCCATGGTGTTGGCCCCTTCACAGAACACGATAACACTTTACACACAAACTGTGAAATGCCACCATTTTGTTGTAAGCTTTAACTGTACACTGCCTTGTTCTCGGGTATATCACGTGATAAAATCAAACGACAGATATGAGGTCCCAGACTCCTGGCTTTAGGCCAAAAACATAGATAAGTGTGTGCATGATAAACATACGTTACATTATATAGTAAAAATGTAATGAAGTCAAATATTTTCTGTAGCTATCGTTTACCGTTTTTAATAACAGACAGTTAATGGCCTAGTAGAAAAAGAAGAAAATAATGCATTGCACAAAGCTACAATGTCACAACTGTCAAAAAACTATAAGGGTAGAGACCTTGACCTTATGAATGAAATTGTCAAGGTACTTATCACAGTCAGTGTTGTTTGCAGTATTACATAACTTCAGGTTAAGAGATCTCTGGGTTGAAAATTGACATCTTCGTGGTATTTCATAAAATGATAAAATAAAAATGTCTAATAATTCGATCAATGTTCTTATATACCGCTTTATCACACACTAGGTCGTAGGCCGTTTAAAAATAGGTTTACAAACTCTGATGTTTTGTTATGATATGCATCTCTTGCTTGAATCAATAGAACCTCTAGAAAATCTAAACAGAAATATTTTCCCAAAGAAGAACATCTGAAATTTTTCAGTCGTCTACATGAAGCAAACCAAAAATATATCAAATTGACTGATTGATGACGGAGTTTGCATTCCAGAACCCCCCCCCCCCCCTCCACTTGAGGCCTCAATATATTCCTTTGTTAGTTTCATTCCGATTTTATCAAACAAAACACATACAAAAGGAGAGTTATTAACCATGACACAGCGTTCAGTTTATAAACACCTGTCTCGTACTGAGTCTAAACGACAATGCGGATCTGTCACACGAGTTAATTCCCGTAAGACAGTCACCAGGTGATCATAAACTACTGCAATGTCGTTGGCAAAACAGAAGAAATATGAAGGTGATATTGTGTATCAAATAATAGGATTA